ACACACACACACACACACGCACCGCAGTGCTCAAAGGGTTCCTCAATCCAGAACAATCTGTGAGCCTTCGACTTTTTCGGCCAATGGCGTGTGACGTGTTTCAACATGGATTCAGTGAGAATGAGTCATGTGCCGCTGTGCGCGCTTGAGATGCGCATTCGCACATGAGCCCGCGGCTAACTCACTAGGTCCATTACTTCACTGATCGCTTCCTTGCCCGTGCGACACTGCCATGGCCATCTGAGCAATCCAACTCAACAGCTGCGATGTTACCAGCCCAGAGCGCAGTGACTGCATGTTGTTTCTCTTTTTGGGAGGTTCCCCTCATGAAAACTGAGAAAAACGGTCACCTGTCTAGTGGAGGGGATTGTGTGGAAACTTCTGTTTAGAAGATTGCGCCTCGTAACGAAGACTCGTGCAGACATGCTGTGGCAGGCTCGATCAGCTTTCGACACCTCACTCTGCCACCTTCCTGAGGACTTGGTTTGGCTGCTGCCTGGTGATGTGCTTGATTTTGGAAGCATCTGGCATCCCACGGGCATCGGCCTTTCAGATTCAACCTTGAGCCAGGATGTGCGCCGACTTGAACCAAAAGTGCCAGGAGGAGGACATTGGTTGAGGTTGGAGAAGGCAGTGCAATTCAGTGCGTCTTGTGATTCTCGAGGAGTTTCCTTTCTTTCCAAACATCTTCACAGAGTCATGGGTCCTGCTTGGCCGCGTGCACAGAGGGTTTCCTTGTGGAACATTCAATCAAATCGCTGATATCAGACTGAGCCATGAGGGAAAAGCAAGCTCTGGATGCTCCTTACCCTACACTGGCCCTACACCTGCATGATACTGATCATATGACATTGCAGTGACTCAGTTTCTGACGAGCTCGGCGAATTTGGTGCCTTCTGCGCTGGACCGCAGCCAGAGGGCGACTTCGGACATCGCTGGATGAATCTCCTCACAAGAAACGGACATTTCAAAGGCCATTCGAGGCAAAACGCTCGCATCGTACTTGCATGGAGCTCATGCGCCAGGCAACTTGCTTGGCGACCTTCAGGAGCTTGGCATCAGCCTACTGGATGTCATTGCGTAGCCGGCGAGTTTGTGAATCCCACACTGCGTATGCCATGTTGCTTCTTGACATATCTTGACGAGGCGGCCAAGAAGTTCCTCAATTCTGTTCATATACAACAGGCACTGCACTTTGGCTCGTAGCTTAGCTTGCTCAAGGATTACGTCCAAACCTTATCAAGCTTTAAGGCATTAAGATCAATGGAAATCAATGCATGCGTGAAGGTGGTGCCGGGTTCAGGGTGCAAGGGTGTGGCTTGGGAGGGGCACAGGGCGCAAGTGCTTAACTGGCACCTGGTTCAATGAAGCATGAGCAAGCTCCGCTGCATCCTGTTCATGCTTCATTAAACCGAGTGCAGGGTGCCGGGGTTCAGACAAGCTGTGTGCGGCGGGCGGGCCGGCACCCGCGCCACGGCTCATCGCACTCTTGCACCAAGCATTCGACACTATGATCACCATGGCACTGCACCCTGATGCCTCTGGATATTTGGCAAACTGAACCTGGCCTTTTTGATTGGCGTGGGAAGCCGTTGTTTCAGTTGGGGACGCACGGCTCTGCTGGTCGCCTGTTTTCAACTCTTGACCGATTCTGATGCTCACCTGGAACCTGGAAAGATTTGTCTAAACATGGCTCCTTCGGCGATGTTGGGGTTGGGGGTGCAAGTCGAGTGAATCAATGCTCTGCCAGCCTCCGGCTTTCATGATGGGTCTGTCACTGGATGCTCGAAGCATACACTGAAGTTTCCTTTGGCCGCTGCCAAGGGGTGTGGCTTAAGTTCATGGAGTAGTCAACAGAGTCCGTCTGGTCAACCGCCAACCCAACGAGAGCATCACAAAGGATGAAGGAATTCAACAAAACTGATGTTGCGAGTCTGCATTCTGACAGGGACCTTCGTGTTATCCTGGATCTACGTGTAGATATGTAGATATGCTCAAACATGCCTGACCCAGAGTGGCAGGGAGCGAACACGGTTCGTAAGTCAGGGGCCTGGGCACAGGCTTGAGTTGAGTCCTTCATGATGCTTCTGCAAGCTTGAGCTGCGAGAAGTCATGCTTTTGCTTTTAGCCGCAATGTGGCCAGAGCGGAAAGGTGACTGTACCATACGTGTGCCACGAAACATCGCAAACATCCAGAGACGGTTGCTTGCATACGTTCCCCTGTCAGGTACTTTCGCAAGAGTAAGCCAAAACCAATCATGTACTTCCAGGCTTCTAGGCAAACCACATACACCTGGCTTGGATGCGTTCCAGCAGACCATGGCTTCTCCACACTACAGACGTCAGTAACCTCCTGGCACGCAACGCCCGCACATCCCTCACGTTCCACAAAGCTCTAAAAGGAGCTCTGGTTCCACAGAGGTTGGAAGGCACTGGGCAGCCCGGGACTGAGGTTATGACAGGCTGCAGTCATGGCGTCGTTTCCTTGCCCAGGCTCGAATGCTAGATCACGACTCGTTGCCTGCATCCGCCAACCAATTGAGCAGCACAGCTACTGCACGTTGTTTTCGCCATGCTTTTGTCAAGATGCACTTGGTCTCGCACATGTGTCATCAGCAAGCTCCGAACTGTTGATTTCTTCACCACAGTCCGACCTCATGCGACCGATCACGACCTCAAAGTATCTCAAAGTTGAAAGGTTTGTCATCAGGCTGAGCAAAGCTGCGCACCCGGACGTGACGAGTGCATGAAGATCCGAAGTGCAACTCTGCGGCTTATCCTGAGTCAGATGCGGGAGTCCGACTCAAAAGAACAAGCATGGCTTTTCGGACCCTCTATCTTCCAGTCAATATTCCTCTCACAAAGCTTGGATGTGTAAGGAATGCACTTCAGTTGCCAACGAAATGTTCGCAGAAGCAGTCATGAACCTCCCTTGTGATCAACCGCAGCATCGATGTTTACACTGCGCAAAAGCCCATCTGCTTTGCTTTGCTTGCTTTTGGTTTTTTGGGCTACCCATATCTACCCATAGGATGTTGAGGCAAATATGACATTCAGATTCCTGCACGTTGTCCATCCATGCAGGTAGCAAAACCACTGAGCTTCAAGACTCCAACAGCGTTTCGGTGCCGGCTTGGTTCAGCATTTTCACCTGCTCTGAGATTCTGTGATCTACACCGAAATCTTCTTGCACGTCTCGCGACAGAACTATACTGCCTGAACACAGTCGAGATGTGACAGACTGAACCCACACTGTGTTCTGCTTTGCCACACTACCCGGATGCGCGGGGAGGGTCACTCGCAGGCTTGCATGCAGCGAGTTGCAAGCACGAGCTCGACATCCGATTTCGATGTGATTATAAGAGGAGATTATGCTGCGAGCTCGGAGAGTGCTGGCAGAATCTGGCTGGTTCTCCACATTGCTCATCTCACAAACTTCTGTCAACCTATGTCGGTCAAGGTGGTAGCTCGTCAAGCTGTCCTTGCTCAGCTGGCAGCATGCGGCGGCTTTGATGCTTCGATCGTTGCCTCCCCTTGGACTGCTTGGAAAAAGGCGTTGTCTGTTCAATAACCTGAAGCGGTAGCATGCCTCCGCGCTGATGCTGTTCTAAGGCTTCGGCTAGTCCTTCTACTCATTGGCACGCAGCATTGAACGGTTCTGTTCTGTGGCTGTGGAACGTACAAAACGTGGGCTCAGATTCTGATAGTGACGTTACCACATTTGCACCACGAAGCGGTTGGCATGGGCTGGCAACTCAGTCTGGGTGTGTTCAAGCTGTGATGTTCAGCGCAGTATGTGGTCTGAGGCATCGAAGAAATTCGAGTCGTGCCGGTATGTGGGCTTTGCTCCTGCTTGGCCCTGGTGATTTTCACTTGTGTTGCACTGCAGACTGCTCAGCTGGCAAGGCAATTTTTTGCAATGATTCGCTGAGGACTGCTCAGTCCAACCAAGGCCAATGTCCATCAAGTCGATGGAGCAAGGCAGAAACTCTGTGCAGCTGCAGTGGATGACTCAAAACATTCTCGACGAGGCACCGACATGAGATTGCCTGCAAGTCGTTTATTTATGTAAATCCACCAAGAAGGGTAGCATGTATGCATGCATGCATGTATGTATATACATACATACATACATACATACATACATGTGTATATTATATATATATATATATGCTACCCCCCCTCATGTACCCACGTGTTGTGCTTGAACCATGTGTAATTTCGGAAATTTTGGAAATTTCGGAAATTTTGGAAATTTTGGATTTTTTTGGAATATTTGGCAATTTTGGAATTCTTGGAAACTTCTACAATATTTTGGAATTTGTAAAATTGTCTGCAATTTCGGGAGATCTCTACACCTTCATGTAATGCTCCTAAACCTAGTATTTGTCTTAGTCTTGAGGTTAATCTCGTGTCCGCCTTGTTCCTGCCTCTAATCTTAGAACGATTATTGTTAGTTATAGTAGTTTTCAACTAT